CCGTCAGGCCCGCGTCGCCAGTCAGTGTGAGTGGAGGGAGGAGGCGGCTGACTGTTGGCTGGGGCCTGGGGGAGGGGGAAGGGAGGGGGAGGGGGCGGCGAGAGTCTAGGTTTCTGTTTTGGTTGTGTGGGTTGGCAAGGAAGGGGCGTGAGTGGAGTGAAGAATGGAGGGAAGGCGGAAAGGAGGAGGAAGGTTCGCCTCTGGAGTGGAAGGGCTGAAAGGAGAGGACGTATGTGTGTGTGGGTTAATAATGTCAAGTGATATTTCATGTTGAAATATTGAGTTTCATGAATTTATTTACTCTGTTAAATTTTACTCGTGTTCTTACATCCCCTGCTTCCTCCTTCCAGCGCGAGCCATCGCTGGGCTTGAGCGAGCTGCTGAACGCCGGCGAGCCCGTGACGAGCGACCGCGGCTCGTGGGGCATGCGCGAGGCCTCCCACTGCGACTCGTGGCACCGCACTGCGCCCCGCTACAGGTGAGGCATCTCGATCGCCTGCTCTTGAAATGTGGTCAAGGGAGGGCGTTTTTGTGTTACTAGGTTAAATGAATAAATAAATGGAAAAGCGCGAGCTGTTGCTTGGCAGGGGGAAACTAACTTTCGTTTCCGAACGTCCGCAGCCGCTTCGACGACGAGAGCACAATGCAGAGCAACTGGTACCGCAGCGACGAGGACGACATCATCCTGTCGCCGCGCGCCTCGGAGGCGTTCAAGGACGTGGGTCCCGCCAACGGGTCCGAGGACTACAAGACGCCGCCGGGCCAAGGGGCGGTCAAGATCCTCATGAAGAACATCAACTCCATCAAGAAGAAGATCAAGCGCTACGAGGAGGAGTTCGAGTCGGCCTTCGGCTACCGCCCTTCGCACAGTGAGAAGATGAAGCACAAAGAGATCAAGAAGTACATGAGCGAGCTCAGCAAGGCCCGCAAGGAACTCAAACGTGAGTGGCTCGCCTCCCCGTCTCCCTCTTGCCTTTTGTGGAAAGTAGCTGGTGTGCCGCCCACGCCCCCTGGCTCTTCAGCATGGGATCTAATTTTCCTTTTCCCTTTGCAGAGATGAAGGACGACGTCGCTGGCATGATGTCGGTGCCAACGGTGTTCCCCCTGTCGCTGCTTCGGTGCCAGGAGTCGACCAACCCCAACGCCAGGCCCAAGAACACCTCCGGCACGGCAGACACCATCCGCCAGGTGGAGGACAGACTGCGGGAGAAGAGGACGGCCTCGGGACGCCCATTGGAACTCACCAACATGAACAAGACGGAGATGCAGGAGGAGAAGACCGCCCTGCAGAAGGCGCTCCTGTACTACGAGTCGGTTCACGGACGACCCACCACGAGAGAGGACAGAGACCTAGCCCGGCCCCTGTACGACAGATACCGCCAAGTCAAGAGGATTGTCATGAGATCGAGTTCGGTGAGTGGCCGGTTGCTGGCCGGCGTGGCGTATTTCTTTGTCAGAATGGTGCATTTCTGTCTACGCCATGTGATGATACGGTTTCTTACTTATATGTTCTTTTTCCACCAGAGAGCCAAGGAGAACATGGTGGAGCTGGCCCCGATCTTGGAGCACGAAGCGATGGACTTCACGCTGGCCTCGCCCCAACACCGGGGGTCGCTGCAAGGCGACGAAATCGAGAAGATCTCCCTGCCGCCTTCCCCGCCCTCCACCCCGCCCGTCTTCGACTCCCCCGTCTTCGAGGCGCCACAGACCACCACCACGACAACGACGACCACGACGATGCCCGGCGACGATCCAAAGGACACCCGGCGTGGCGTGCCCCTCGGCGACCTCCACGCGCTGCCCCTGAGCGAGCTGCGGGAGAGGAAGAAGGAGGCGCGCGACGAGAAGAAGAAGCTTCGGCGAGCACTGCGCGAGTTCGAGGAGACCTTCGAGAGGGACATGGGGAGGAAGGTCCAGAAGGAGGACCGGGGCCCCATGGAGCAGACTTACCTGGATTACAAGCACGCAAAAGCGAAGTTGAGGCTGCTTGAGGCGCTTTTGTCCAAACACGAGCCTCACAAGGTTTGAGTATTTTTACATTCAACTACCCTAGGATAAGTGCTGATAGAAGAGCTTATTTTTGGGGGAAAGCAGAAGTTTGTAATGTGCTTACATTATATTAAAGCAGTAAATGTTTACTGTAAGTGGATTAGGACGAAGTAGGCTCAGCTGTATTTCGCGTCACTCGACGAGAAAGGATCGCCGAGTGATGCAACTCGTTTACAGATTGTCTATTTTGCTGTACTAGCAGAAGAGCGAGGTTTATGGAGGACACAAGGGAAGGACGTCCCAGTCCATGTTCCGTGCTCTGGTCGACAGGCACTGATTATGCATGAACTGTGATACAGATAGTTGTCAAAGTTCCCAATATGGTTTAAAGATTAATTAAGGTAGAAAATCCCTTGTTTTGAATCTTCATTACTAACAGTAGGTTTAATAGTGTCTCCCATTTCTTTTGTCTAAATCTGCACTTTTGGAATTATTTTTTTCGTTATTCAGA